AAAATGTGCCGATTTCTTAGAAATACACCTTCTTAATGGTTTTCCACAATCTGGAGTTGGTTTGCTTCCATTTAAACTGTCAAACAAATTATCTATGTCTTCCACAAATTCTGCAGTATCAATTGCAGATGCTGCTAGACTTCCAGGAGCAGAACCAATCATGCTTTCTATAGCTGCAGACATTGTATGGCTTAGAACTTTAGCGGCAACTGATACTTTCATTTTTAAACGGTTGTTACGGCTTACATCAAAATATTGCTCCCTGATTTTATAAAGAGTTTGAAATCTTTTTGACCGATCTAAATTATATGCTTGCTTGATAAAATCTGAATTGGCGTATTTATTTCCATCGTACTGAATATGATAATTAAACAAAGCATTTCTGGTGCACTTAAGTAAATGGCAAACATCAAAAAGAGTTATAATTTTCTGTCCATTTAAAAAAAAATGTGGCTCTAAATTTGTTACAGTCCCATCCTTTGTTCTCAATGATCTTAAAGCTACCCTATTTTCCCCCATCAAATCACAAACAGTTGCTAAAACCTTTAAACCTATATTTTGAAGAGCCGTAATAACCTCTTTTATTAACTCAATAAGATCTTTACTATTTATAGCATGACGTGTAAAATAATATGCTATAGGCTGTTTCCAAACTCTTCTTAAACCGTGAATCATAAAAACTAAAGCATGATCGGCTACTTCTGGGCGTCTACCTAATTTTTTTCCCAAGTCAACATATCCAACAATTTTGTCATTAACTGTATCAAAAGTGAGTTTTTCGGTTAGAGCTATTTCGTCGAACATTAAAATACAATTCCTATCAATTTCTGGCATTTTTCTAACAATTTCTTTAAATCTGGAAAACACTGAATCATTTATCCCCGTTTCAAAAGGTAAATCACTTAAAATTTGTTGGATAGTAGATTTACTAGGCAACGAAATGCATTTTCTTAAAAAATTATATGCTCTTGGACCATTTTTATATAATGCTATAGAAAAAAATTTATTTTGAGTGGTCCAAGAGGGTTTCTTTCTCTTACAATTTTCTAAACTACTTTTAAAGAATTTAATTCCAATCGGATCTAATTTATTATTAAAATCTGAAAATAACTGAGTTTTGGATAATTCAAAGGCTTTCTTGATTTTATTTTTGGAAACACGTAGAGCTTTCTTTAGCTTACAAATTCTAACGTTTTGTTCTCTATTAATAAAATACAGCTTTTTCTCTTTGGGACTTAAATTTTTGACTTTACTTTCATTTATTTGTTGCATAACAGTTTTTCTCCGTTTGGAGGGTTGTTCAAATTGTACATCACTAATATTTAGTTTCCGTTTGCAACTAATTTCTTGATTTTCGTTGCTGATTAGCAAATCTATCTTATGCTGCTGTGTTTGTGCTTCAGCCTCAATATATTCTGAAATCTGACTCTCGGGTTGTATATTTGAACTGGATGCATAATTATCTAAAGAAATTGGTACAGAATGTACAACTAGTCGTTTACGTTTTGAGGAAACCTTACTAAAAGACTCTGGCAAAAAATGATCTTCACAAAGATAGCGAGTATTATTATCTAAAGTTAAATTTAAATTCTTAAACCAGTTCTGGCGAACTTTAACATCAGAAGGAAAATGAAAAAATGCTTTATTTGAATAACCAACTTGCTGAATATTAGAATAATACTTATTTAAACAATTAGGAGCTAAACAAGAATACTTAACTATACCCGGGCCAGACATTTTTGTTTCAAATATTAGAAAAGGAATTGTTGAAATATGAAATTAGATACCTATATATCGTTAAGGCTAAGAAAACAATGATAAACAAAGCCCTTAAATACTTAATATTAAATTAAAGTTAATACTTACTAATTACATCAAATCAGCACAGTTTGTTTCTTAACCTAAAAATAACTTACCTACCTATGTAACTTACATCATAAAATAAAAATAAGTTTTATTTTATCATCATATCCCGCCTTCCGCCATCACGGTTTTTCATTTTTTACAAGGTTGTCAATCCCGTCTTTTAAAAATCTCAGAAATAGTATGGACATTGTATGGATGGTATGGTGCGCATGTAGATTAATAAAAAATTAAAATAAAATGAATTTGAAATAACTATAATCTCATGAAAGTTTACGGAAACCGGCAACATCGCTTTCATACTATTGCGATGGTGGCGCTAACTAATAGTATGCTGGGAACTACGCCGTGTTGACAGTGGCGGGCATTTAATAAATTCATCTTGTTTTATAATAATTTATCTATGATGTACACTGCTATATTGCCTTTCCTAGTGCCCACGAAATAGGTCGTTCTAGCTCAAATGTGTTTTAAAATAAAATTTCAGCGTTTTATTCTTTAGAAAAAGAAAATAATTACTTAATTCAAGACAGGTTATTATGTATTTTGAGAGTTGAGTTTCCATGTAGTTAAATAATATTAAGAGATCTAATCAATTTTTATAAGGATGGATGTAATTAATTTTAGACCACTCTCATTTCAGAAATAACACTATATAAAACACATAATTGCAATATATAATACAACTTTGTAAAGGTAATGTAAACAACTTTAATATGAGATATAAACAACTTTTGTAAGAGTTGTAATTGGACACTTATCTATTGTTCTGAGTAATGTTTAATAGTAATGTTACTAAAAATTTTACAGAAAATCACTGCATTTTTAATATTTTAACATTTGTTGCAATCTCTTTTGACACTAATTGCAATGTATTTTTTTTGTGTCATCGGCATCAACTGCTTCGTTTATTAGCCTCGTGTTCTGTGTAGGCTTTGTTACTGTTTCCCAACTTTAAAATTATGATTTGTTTATTTTAGTGATAAATGAGAAATAGTTAACAAATTGTATGATATGTTTGTCAAATTGGACATTCTAATTTCACAGTAACATTCTACATTAGTTTTAATTAACAGAATAAACCATTAATTATCTATAAAATTATATTTATATAAAATGTTCATTTAAATATGAAAAAATCTTAATGACAAAAAACACTAAAGATTCTAATTTCATAAACCGGTTCTGTAAATGATTTTGCTCAAAATTGATACAAGATAGATACATATGGATAAGCAATCTATGTAATTATGTATATCGTTGGGTGTGAGACACGAATTGTGCTCTGTGGAAATTTATAAAATTTCTTTACTACTGAATCAAATCCAGGTTTCCAAAGCGATATGTTTGTACATCCACGGACGCAACAAGTTTTTTCGATAATGATATTACGAAAATAATTCGATTTTATTTAATTAATAATTACTAAACAATAAATGCCGTATACAACATTAATAAATCTCCCCCAAAGTGCACATTTTTGTCACCAGTTGGTGTTAAAGTCATGACGCACGGTCCCTATGACGTTTTGGACTTCCACAGCGATAGCCTGTCGCTAAAGGAGTACCATACCGAAAAAACTTTTTTTTTTGTTTTTAGCGACGCTCTGGAATGACTAGCTAGAATTGATTTCAAACTTGTATTTACAGGTTTTTGATGTCGCTGATTATGAATTTGATGTCAAACTTGTAGAAATCAAAATAGTGGACCCAATATGGCGGACAATAAAATGTTAAAATTCGTAGATTGTTCTAAAAATTTGTATATACAAGTTTTTGAGGTCATTACTTGTGAAATTGATGAAAACATATTAAAAATGCCGGATCTAATTTGACGAACAAAATGTTTTAAAATGCTTCCATTTTTCTGAAAATGCGTATCTATAGAATATCGAGGTCAGTTATGATGAAATCATTAAAGTTTATCGTTAAACTACTGATCAACGAGAATTATTAATATTATACAAAATAAAATATTTATAAAATTAAAACGCCCCTACATGCCTACGATACATAATCTGGTATATATAAAGAATTCAAGTAAACATTAATTTTTTTATTAACTACAAGTATTAGAAATTAAAAATTTAAAAAAACCGACTTCAAAAACGTGCAGATGCCATTACCATATCTTAACCAAAATAATATGGGACCACCCCTGAGGTACCCCCTTACTAACAAAAAAGAATCATATAAATCGGACAAGGTGGTAAAGCATTATCGCTAAACATACATAAAAAATGAAGAGTTTGAGGATTTTCTCATGGACCCAATTATTAGATTTTGACTAAATTTATATGGGACCACTCCTGAAGTACTTCCTTTCTAACAAAAAAAGAATCATTAAAATCGGAGACCGTGTTAAAGAATACTCGCTGAACATACATAAAAAAAAAATATCGCGACGAATTGATAACCTCCTCCTTTTTTGAAGTCGGTTAAAAAGTACCTACTCAAGTTTATTTGAAATTTATTTTTAAAAAATGGAACGTCATCTGATAGGTCTGCATTGTAGTCAAATGCATCCACATTCGTTTCTATAATGTCATCAGTTAAAGCGTCGCCATCCTCATCTTCATTTGTTTCTTAGTCATAACTAGCTGTTTCTTTAAATTTTAGTTCAAGTCATTATTGCATGATTGAATTACTAAAGTAATATCTTCGTTTATTTATTATTATTATTAATATTATTATTGTTATTAAAAATTTTGTCTTTTAAATATAAATTTATTAACTATATTAAGTATTTTTTTAGAAATATTTAATATTATTTTATATTATTGTGACGCGAAGCCATCTTTATTCCTTGTTTACTCCTTACCCGCGGTATGAAGTCTACCGCTGGTCATATAAAAACAAACGCACCGCTTCGAGAAACTACCGGAGTGATACCTTTGTGGCGTATGAGTTATAGAAAGGCAGTTCCCAATCGTTCTGGGTCGCCTAGAGTGTTCTGGTACAGAGCTGGCTTTATACAAATAGCGCGAGTTTGTTGTGTTGGACAGTAGAGACAAATTGTAATAAATAAATTAGAATTGTGAGTGTCAAAGTATTATATAAATTAATTAGTACGTTATAAATATATTGTAAATAGTGTTTTAAATAAATAAACTATAAATAAAATAAACAAACGTTACATTAACCTTCCTCGATGGTTTGTGTCGTTTCCTGTTCCTCTTGGTTACGCTCCTCAGTCTCAATATTTTGCAGAACTATTTCATTTATGGTGTTTGGAACAGCTTCACCGTCAAACCTCTTGAAAGTATAGCCATCATTAGACAAATCCCAACCATGATGGGAAGCATTTTCGTGCACTGTTGGAACTTTCAAATGGGCGTTACACCAAATGTCAGCAACGTAATATACTCGCAATAGTTGATATAACTCAGCTTTGCATGCTGGAATAGTCGAGGCATCAAAGTTTCGTAATGTCTTGTTGAATAATTATTTATCACTCTTCATGATGTAAGATTTTAAAAATAGAGCCAATTTGACTTCGTTAACGTTGTTGATGTGGTTTCGTACGAATCGATGTATGGCTTGTTAATTTTTCTATATAATAGAGGAATAAAAAACAAACCTGCACACAAATCGTTCAAGCACGGAAAAACTTTCTTCACGTTGTTAATAAAAGCATCTTGGAATTCCTCTTTCTGCAAAACAATTTGCAACGGTTTCTTCTTTCCTTTGCGGTACAAAGCTGGGATATAATCGCACCAGCTCATTGCATGAAGACCTGCCAATTATACGATTAATTGTGCACTTTAGCGACATGCCATGGGTAAGGCAGTGATATATTCGTGCTTTATACTTTAAAATACATATAAAAATGCCAGTATGGCACTTAACCTATGAAAATGTGACAACTTTGAAAGCCAATATCTGACGTTAGCGACATTTCATCGGCATGGCAGTGATATATTCGTGCTTTATCCTTCAAAATACATATAAAAATGCCACTATGTGCCCCAGTGGCCTTTAATACACCTATGAAAATGTGAAAACTTTGGAAAACAATATCTGACGTTGGCCACATCGCATCGGTATGGTGCTAGTAGAACTTTGTTTAGGACATCAAAATTAATAAAAGAGACACATGTCTATGGTGCATTACTGCATAACGCATTACTGCATCACCTGCAAAGCTAATCATATTTGCTTTATTTTCAACTAAAAAGAGATTTTTTAAGCAGACTATAAAGAGTAGAGGCCCCAATGCTGTTCCATGAGGTACACCACAGGAGACTATTTGATCGATGCTGGGGACATTTTGTATTTTGGTTTTCTGTTTTCTATTTGTTAAGTAGGAATTCATTAAATTATTGGCTATACTCCTTATACCCATATCTTCAAGGGAATTTAATAAATAATGATAATGATTGACGGTGTCGAAAGCTTTAGCCAAGTCTAAAAAAAATTCTAATTGATAGTTTTTTATTGTCAATTGAACAGTAAAATTTATTAGTTAGTTCCCTTATTGCGTCTTGCGTTGAACCAAATTTTAATTTTAAGCTTTATTCTGGCCTCCAGTGGACTGATTAGATAGGTAGCCATTTTTATATTTTATGAAATATATCTGTTATTTACGTTTGAAGAAGAAAGTTCTTCAAATAAAAGTTACTTACAATATTATTATCTATAATTTTTGTTATATACGAAATTTTCCTTAAATGAGCCGTATTCGGGAAATTTGACAATATTTTTTTATAAAAATTGTTTAAATAAAAGTTGTTTGTAATATAATTTTCTATAATTACTTTCCTATCTGTATACAGATATAAGGAAAGTATAGGAATCATGATTTTTTTCGCCTTCGAGTTTTCGACGGATTTTTACGTTTTGCGGTCCCCTGAATCCGTTTTGACTATTTTCGCGATGATGTCTGTGTGACTGTGTGTGTGTCTGTGTGTGTGTGTGTGTCTGTGTGTGTGTGTCTGTGTGTCGCATAACTCATGAACCGATACACAGAAAAACACCAAATTTTAAACTTAAGCTTAAGCTTAAGCTGATTAGATTTTGGGCAGAGTCGGAACATCTGGGGGGTACTTTATATGTGGTTATTTTTATATTTTATGGAATATATCTGTAATTTACGTTTGGAGATAAACATTTTTTAAATAAAAGTTACTTCTTATTTTATTATCTATAATTTTCCTAAAATTTGACAAAATGTAAAAAAATTTTTTTTTATAAAAATTGTTCAAACAAAAGTTGTTTGTAATATAATTTTCTATAATTTTTGTCCTATTTCTCTAAAATGGACCGTATTCGAGATATTTGAGAAAATGTGTAAATTTCGAAATTTGAAGAAAACTCAAAAACGGATAAAGAAAAGAACATTAAATTTTAAACTTAAGTTTCATTTCGGCCTGACGTCAAATGATTAGATTTTGGACAAAATCGGAACATCTGGGGGGGTACTTTATGGGAGGCCGTTTTTATATTTTATGGAATATATCTGTTATTAATGTTTAGAGAAAAAAATTGTTCAAATAAAAGTTACTTCTAATATTATTATCTATAATTTTTGTTTTGTGTTAAAATTTCCTGAAATGGTCCGTATTCGAGAAATTTGACAAAATGTACAAAATTCTGATTTTTATGAAAATTTTTAAAATAAAAGTTGTTTGCGATATCGATCTCTACTATAATTTTTTTTTATACATGATTTTTCTAAAATGGACCGTAATGGAAAAATTGTAGGAAAAGTGCTAAATTTAAATTTTTTAGTATTTTCGTTTTCAATGAATATCTATAGAAAAATGTTTCGAGGTAGATGTATGTGGAAAATGTATATAATTAGTTAATCCTCTAAACATTTATAGATGTGTTGCAATAGGTTGTACAAAATAACCGGAAAAAGATGGAAGCAGATAGGAAAGTCATGTGTTGGACACATCAGATTTTTTTTATTGCATACGTAATTACTCTAAAATGGGTCCCACAATAGATCTGAAAAGGTCGCGGTGGACAAGGACAAATAAAGTCCAACTCCTAATCTAATCTACTCTAAAATGGACCGTATTCGAGATATTTAAGAAAATGTGTAAATTTAGAATTTTGAAGAAAATTCAAAAACGGATAAAGGAAAAAACATTAAATGTTAAACTTTAGTTTTATTTCGGCCTAAGGTGAAATGATAAGATTTTGGACAAAGTCGAAACATCTGGGTGGTACTTTATAGGAGGTCGTTTTATATTTGTTATTTATGTTTGGAGAAGAAAATTATTCAAATAAAAGTTACTTCTAATATTATTGTCTATAATTTTTGCCTTATGCCAAATTTTTCTGAAATGGTCCGTATTTCAGAAATTTGACAAAATGTGCAAATTTCTGATTTTTAAGAAAATTGTTAAACTAAAAGTTGTTTGCGATATCGATCTCTTTAATTTTTGTTTTTACATGATTTTTCTAAAATGGGCCGTAATAGAAAAATTGGAAGAAAAGTAATAAATTTTAATTTTTCAGTATTTTCGTTTTCAATGAATATCTATAGAAAAATGTTTCGAGTTAGATCTGTGTGGAAAATGTATATATTTAGTTTATTCTATAAACATTTATAGAGGTGCTGCAATAGGTTGTACAAAATAACTGGAAAAAGCGTATAATAACTAGATAGGAATGTCATATGTTGGAAATCTAAAGATACAATTGTCTTTGAGAGTAAATCATTTTTAGGTTACTATAAGCATTTCTTAATTTAGCCGTAATGTGTTCCTTAAATCGCAATTTTGTATCTACAACAAGACCTAGGTTTTTATATTGAGGTGTAATAGGTATTTCAGCACCCCCTATTATTAATTGCGCGGTGTCCAAAATATTTTCATTGCCAAATATTAGAGCCGATGATTTATTGGGATTAATTTTCAAACAATGATCTTTTGGAATACTAAGGATCTTTTCTAAATCTGAATTTATACATTGAATACCTTCTACTTTGTTTGTATATTGAAATGAAAAGTATAACTGTTTATCGTCGACGTAAAGGAGGTAATGGCAATACTCTAGTGCAAGTGGAAAGTTAGATGTATAAAAAGAGAATAATAAGGGGCCTAAAATACTTTCCTGTGGAACACCTGATAAAATTTCTATTGAAGCAGATTTTTAATCAACGCGTTTCTAATTTCTGGGGGCGTGCCCGTAATGAATTTTTCGTCACTACTCATTTTTGTATTTTTTTGAGACCTAATTTTAATAAATTAGCATTAAATTAATTTATTGACACGACAGAAATTGTTCAATTGTTCTCATAGCCAACTCAGTTAAAAACAATTTATTGGAAATAATTTCATTTCAGATTTAATTTTCTATATATTTTTTTAATATATAAGCACATTCGAATAAAAAACAATGCATGAAACACGGACGAAAAGTGTTTTTTTCGGACTCCTACGAGTTGCCAGGCTCGACTACGTGTTGCCTGGCAAGCTTCTCGTAGTCACCCCAAAAACTCAAATTTTCGTCCTTGTAACATATACTACTATTATGTTACAAGAACATATTAAATATTAACAAAGACAATAAACAATTGGGGAAAATGTCCTTTGCCCTTCCCCTATGAGATGGCCGAGACAAAATGTTCTCAATAAATTTGTTTTAATTTTTCGTAGGAGTAGTTATTAAAAATTAATTTATTTGGAAACTTTCAAAGTAATTTATATACTTTTATTTTCGGAATTTTAAACAATTTTTCGTTAGAAATAAAAGTACTTACACATCAGAAGTACAGGAAAAAAACTTAAAAACATGTCTAGCATAATTTAAATAAATGCAACTTTGTGAATAACTTTCTCAGCAAATAACACTCGATGTTAAATTAAAAACCGAAAATTCGAACTTTGAAACATTTTCTAAATAATTTAAGCTCAATGGGATTATTAGTGACAATTTAAACAACATTTACAAATACATTTATTTGTTGCGGAAATTGATAAAATAATGCGTGTAAATATTAATAAATAATGATCAAAACTTGTTTAATTATTAAAATGAATAGGAGAGATAATTGAAAAAATAAAAAATCCTATAAAAAAAATTTTTCAACCATTTTTGATAAGGTCAAAAAAAATAGTAACCAGTTGAGGTCTCGAATTCCAAACTAAACCGTGACAGTTTTGAAATTCTGATACTTGGATTTCGAGACCATTAACCAGTAATATTTATTGTTTCAAACTTGTCTAAAAAATCGATATTTTCTTATCAGTTTTCATATCAATTTATCAATGATTACCTATCCTACTTCAGATAGGTGATAAGCATCCCATTGTCTAAGTCGGTTCCGCGTTAAAGTATAAATAGAAATACTAATTAATAAATTTTGTGTATTACTAATTTTTTCAAATTATTTTCTTTTATTCAAATTCCAACTTTAAACCAATTATGTAATGTAGTCATTTCTGTATAAGCTTATGGTTATTGAAAGACATTTGATACATTTTTTTATGTGATACTGGTTTGGAGTGTTCTTGATTCTATATATTTATTTATTTAATAACATCATAAGTTTCTTTTTTAATTAAGTACATTTATTAACACAACTTCAAATTGTTTCAGTACTTCTTCTTTCTTTAATGCTGAATATGTGGAATGGAATTTGAAATGTTTGTGTTTTACATAATATACCTCTATATTTTTTTTAATAGGAAAGTACTTTAATTTGATCTTAAAAAGAGCCTCTAGAATTTTCTGTATTAACATTTTATTATCCGCGTCTAAAATAAAACTGCAGTCAGTTATGTAAGTACGATATAACATTTATTAAGATTTTATTCAAGATTTATAATATAACTATCATAATTTAAAGCAAGAAATGAGAAGTCATAGCCGAGATTTTTATTGGAGGAAATTTCGAATAAACAAAAGAAATGGGTAATTAGGCAATTCAACGTCCTGTTTAAATGGGTTCCATGGTTAGGTACACTCAACAAATTACAGATATGTAAGAAAATACGATATTTTCATCAAACGAATTAAACACAAAACAAGTAAAATCGACATTCCGTTCTGACAACCATTATAATGTCGCAATATACACTGCATGAAGTTGACACTACACTTTTAGCCGTTTCGTATTAATTATTTAACTTTAAAATTTCACACAGAACTTTTGCAAATTCTTCCGTGGTACTTTTAGTGAGGGAATTCTACTTCTAATATCATATTAATTTATTTCCAAAATTAAATACAAAACAAATAAAATCGACATTCTGTTTAGACAGCCCAACTATAAGTGCCTCTCTTAATTTTCAGGCCACATCGCCTTAGGAACCTAATGGTACGTTTACATCTGACATTTATTGCATGAGATTTATGTCTGACAGTTCTTTAGTCCAGTGTAAACCATTGATCTGGCAACCTAGGGATACGACATGCGTAATCGAAAAGTGGGACCAGGTCCGCCATTACTGTGAGTGCAACTTGTCAATTTTATAGGTTATATCTTTAGTGTCATTTGTGTAATTAAATTTGAATTTAATTTGTGTTTGAGCAAATTTTGAGTGTTAGACACTTATAAAGTATATAATGCCTTGATGTGTTATACGTTCCTGCTCTAGCGATAGACGTTTTTGTAAAAAATCGACTGGAATAAAGTTTCATAGGTTAGTATCAAAATTATAAATATTATACAGGACAGTATTATTACAGGTTTGTATAAAATGTGTAAAAGTATCCTTTTAAAAATGCAAAAAAATCATCTATTAACTTTTGGGCCTACCTATATTGGAATCATTTTTCATACGAAATAATATTTATAGATTTCCAAAAAATCCTGAATTCAGCTGTATATGTTCCAAGCATTTTCTTGAGAAGTACATTAATCGTACGCCATTTCGTTTATCAAATTTATAGGCATTTTTATATTCTTATTTCTATTTAAATATAACCTACATTGGCTGTCCTTCCACCAGTTTTATTTATTATTTCTACAGCTGATTGAAAAGTAGAGC